AGATGTCTAGGGCAAATACTAGGTAATTTTAGGCTTTGGGACATATACTTGACATGAGTTCCCTACACTTTCTAAAAATGGTTAATTTTAGGGATGAGGGTTGATGGTTAATTTTAGGTAGTGGGGTCAGGGATGAGATGTCTAGGGCAAATACTAGGTAATTTTAGGCTTTGGGACATATACTTGACATGAGTTCCCTACACTTTCTAAAAATGGTTAATTTTAGGGATGAGGGTTGATGGTTAATTTTAGGTACTAGGGTCAGGGACAGGATGTCTAGAGTGAATAAAGGTAATTTTAGGCTTTGGGACATATACTTGACATGAGTTCCCTACACTTTCTAAAAATGGTTAATTTTAGGGATGAGGGTTGATGGTTAATTTTAGGTACTAGGGTCAGGGACAGGATGTCTAGAGTGAATAAAGGTAATTTTAGGCTTTGGGACATATACTTGACATTAATTTCCTACAATTTCTAAAAATGGTTAATTTTAGGTATCAGGGTTGATGGTTAATTTTAGGTACTAGGGTCAGGGACAGGATGTCTAGAGTGAATAAAGGTAATTTTAGGCTTTGGGACAGTAGTTTTGGTGCATTTTCTACACTTTCTGAAATTATGACAATGGATTCAGCCCCATCTCGTCAATAACTGACGTGAGGGGGGTACCCGACGTGTCAAAATTGGATGCAGAAGGAACCTTGAAAAAGCATTAATATGTGACGACTTGGGAGTGAGAATGGGTCACATAATCGTATCGTGTGCAATTAATCGTCAGAAAAACATTAATCAATTATTTTTTGGTACTTGACGATTAATAAGATTAATGCCACCAGGCAGAGTCCGCTCGGTGTTCCTCTCCACTTCCAATATGACGAACATTTAAAAAAAAGGTTCTGTAATTTATTTATCTATCAACACAATTTAAAATTTGATGGATAGCCTGAAGTCTGTAAGTTTGACACAATTTGGAAGAGATTTTTATGAAGAACAAATCTTTCCCACTAAATTGGTCATGTGACTAGGACATAAGGGTGTCCAGGGGCTCCAGGGGATTAATTGTCAAATTAATCGTTATCGGCTGAATACCACAATTGATTGTGATTAATTTTTTGCCGATATTGCCCAACTCTATTACTGAGTTGTAGATCAAACCTAAACTTAGAAAACCCATGCATATTTGGCTCAAACCACTGCCAAAAGAACACACATATACAGACACGGACAAAACCATTATTGATGCTTCACGATAAAAAAAGAAGTCTGATAAAGTTTGATAAAACACTCCCAGATTGTCTGGAGTGGATTTGATCAGACCTTGAATACAGCCACCCGCCCCACCACACAGGATATATTCAGTGTCAAACATGCTAGCTTCTTAGCTCCAGTTACAGCCTGGTGAAAAGCTTGACTGATTTACATTCTGAGAGAAAGGTCAGCTGCGTTAAACTAACACATATCACTGACTTTACCTGCCACACATGCAAACACACACATGCACCAACATGGATTAACAGGTGTTCAGCTCCTGACAGCTTATAGACACTTATCACATCCTTGGACAGCTGATTGTTGTCATAAACACCCGTTACTGTGATCTTCAGCTTCTTTCAATTGTCGCAAACAACGCAGAGATGGAAAATGAAAGTCGTTTTGTGATTTTGAAATGTGTGCTTTTGTTCTCGTGTCAAACAGGACATAATGGAGAATGTGTGTCTTTATCTGATGCACTTTTGATTTGTCATCGCTCTGGCGAATCTGCAAATGTGTATGTGTGTTTGTAGGTGGGCGGAAGGTGGGCCTGGGAATCTGAGAAATGTTCAGAAGTGCAATCAAAATGTTCTCTTGTAGGGACAAAAAAAACGTAGGGAGCAGGAGGAATACTGTAGCCAGTAGATGGGAATGAAGTGAGTTGTGAACGAGTGAAAGGAGTGATGGAGTGGGGAGAAGGAGTGAACAGACTCTCCATTCATTCCCTCAGCCTTTCAAACAACCCAGAGCTACCATGGCAACTCCTTTATGCGTGTTCCCTAATTACCCTAACCCCTTACACATACTCTCTCATACACACAAGTTTGCACAAAAAAGACACACACACATACACACACACACACTTCTTGAGCTTGACAATCCCCTTCCCCCTTCCATGCATACCAACACAGTGAACCCTCATCCAGTCACACGCACAGTTTTCCAGTAAAATCACAAATAAAAGTCTATGCCGAGCGTCTCTGGTACTCACAGCGGGCACGAGAAGTTTCTTGACCTCATTGATGGCTCGCTGGAGTTTGATCTTGGCACGGTTGTGTGTGTCCTCCACTGTGATCAGGACGTGGAGGTCCTCGCTGAGGTGCTCCCAGTTGGGCTTCCCTCGGTTCATCTCCTCCTGAAACACACAAATCATTTATAAGACACACAAAAAAAAGGTTGGTTTGAATGAGCCGCTGACGGGGAAAAGGACTTCACTTTTCTTCTTTGGCTTGGCTCGGTTTTTGGATCGCACACAAACAAACGCACTCGCACGGCTCAAGGTTGTCTAATGCAGCTTTGGAGGCGTATCAAACTCATGAAACGACGGTGTTGTTCCTCGGTGGTTACGCAAGATTGGTGCTGCATTTTCCTAAAGGTTCAGGACTCTGATTCTTTGTGTATTATCTCTTCAAATTTCCCCTCACTTTAGCTCTTCGTCTTGTTTGTTCTGCCTTCATCACGCCATCAAAACTCTCTGTAATGATCAAATAATGTTAGCATACAGGCAGCTGTTTAAGTGAGCCAATAAGTAAAAAAACAATCAATTAACATTGTTGCTACATGTATTTGAAGGTCTTATTAACTGTTATTAATGTAACAAAATAGGTCCACATGTTCCAAATAGTTAGAATTGCTTTACTTTTGTTTTAGATAACTGTAACATGCTGTTCCCAAAGGTCAAAAGTTAAATCAAAGTATCTTTTTTAAAACTTTACTGGTATTCAATTTATATTTTTAGCTAAAGTGATTTCAGTTTGTCTGTTTGCTGATTATTCAACCCATTCTCACTCCCAAGTCGTCACATATTGACACTTTTCCAAGGTTCCCTCTGCGTCCGATTTTGACTCTTCTGGTACCCCCTCGTGTCAGTTATTGACGAGATGGGGCGGAATCCGTTGTCATAATTTCAGAAAGTGTAGAAAATGCAAAAAAAAAAAACGACCCTCCCAAAGCCTAAAATTACCTTTATTCACTCTAGACATCCTGTCCCTGACCCTAGTACCTAAAATTAACCATCAACCCTGATACCTAAAATTAACCATTTTAAAAAATATATAAGAAATTCACGTTACCTACGTGTTCCAAAGCCTAAAATTACCTAATATTTGCCCTAGACATCCTATCCCCTGACCCCACTAGCTAAAATTAACCATGAACCATGATCCCTAATGTTAACTACGGACCCCAACTGAAAGACCTCTATATTTTGCATCCCAACGCGTCAAACCTGGACACAGAGGGAACACAGAAATGCCTGGTGCATCAAAAACTGATGTGACGGGAGTACCCGACGCGTCAAAATAAGACACAGAGGGAACCTTGGAAAAGCATCAATACTGTATGTGACGAGTCGGGAGTGAGAATGTGTTAGATTATGCCCAACCCTACTCAGTAATATTCAGGTTGTGTCCAAGTTCAGGGGCTGCGTCCTTCGAGGGACCCGACATACCTGGTTGACATGGACTGCGTCCTTTATCGACCGTGAAGACTGGAAGAAAGTGGCTGAAAATTGGGACGGTTTAGCCTTTATTTTTATTCCCACCCTTACTCCAGCGTATGTCCTGCCACCTAGCAATCATGACAGCGCTAAACAGAAACAATGAAAAACTAAATTAGCTAAATATTGACATATTATAAATTCTTATACTTAAAAAGACTTAAAAAGCAATGAATTCATCACCCTAAAAATAAAGGTTTAGTTAGCCTTAAAATGTCCTTAATCAACCTTTCAGATGTCTTAGGTTTTAAATAATTTATTGAATGCCGCTTGCAGCTAGTTGTTTTGTATTAAAGTAAACATTTGGGTAAATATTTGGTTACCTTTCTGTTTACCGTGAAGTTGGTCTTAAGTTTAATTTCAAGTGGCATTAAAGAAGTCTGAAAAAGTCTTAAATTTAACTTGCCTTAAGCTGCAGGAACCCTGAAATTGGCTTTCTGGCAATACATGAAGATCTAAGGGAGCCGCCGTACGAGCACGTCTACAATGATTTCTGACCAAAACAATATTGAAAATCATGTCTATGCAAATGACAAAAGCCTAACAACACAACCGTTTTAAACTTTTAATTTTTGTACCACTAGAGTTTAATTTAAAACTGTACTTCTGTCTCGCTCCATCGCTCGCTTTGACCACCATTACAAGCAAAAAAATCTCCTGGTGGGCCCGCAAGGCATCTTGGGATAGAGTAGGCTGCAAAGGATACACCAGACCTGTCCCTCAAATTGGGGGAGATGGAGGACGCATTTGTGATTCACAATTGGAAGACCCTCAAATTTGGACAGCCTTGGGTGCATCGCTGTGACAGAAACGGCCTTTAAAAATGGCCTTCAAAGGACGCAGCCCCTGACTTTGGACACATCCTTAGAGTCAACCCAGTTCAAGATGGTCACCACAGCTGATTAATCCCAGCCAACACAAAAATGGCTATTAACAGCAAATTCCACACACATTGAGCTAAAATTTGGAGCAATGTAATAACTGTTGGCATCAACCCTGTCTGTTAGCAAATTATCTCATGAACCACCAAACAGAATTCCAAGGAATGCCAGGCTTTTAGTTTTAGTCTGTTGTCGTTGGAAAATATTTAATTTGGTTTTTAATAATCCTCAGCGTACTGTATAGTTTAACTTTTTGACCGGAGTTCAACAAAAGTTTATTCATCTGCTCAGGAATGACAGTCATCTCTTAGTTAGCCGATTATGCCTTTTTGTTTCCATGTGCCGCTGTAGGCTGAGGGGGAGGACAACCTGAAGAAAATGCAGCTGATGGAGCTTGCCATTCTCAATGGGACCTACAGAGATGCCAATGTCAAGACACGTAAGCATGATTTCAGAGTTAAGATGTGGAGGAGGGTTAGTGGGTGACAAAGGAGGGGTCTCGGTACAGGACTCCACTGTATATGCAAACAATGCCTCTGTTTCTCCTGTTAAATAGACTGTTTGTCCTCTCCTCTTCTTTCCTGTCTATTGTATGTGCTCTTGTGTGGGTGTGTTCACACTTGCATTATTGTATGTTTGTGTGCCGTACAGCCACCGCTGCCTTCCCTCTAGCGACGCCTCAAGTGCCCCGGATCATCACTGGCCCGACACCCGTCCTGCCCCCCACCCTGCGAAACCCCGCCCCCGTCACCACGCCCACAATCATGCCTCTGATCCGTCAGATCCAGAGCTCCGCCCTCGTGCCGGGAGCTAACCCGCATCCGGCGCTGGTGCAGCAAGGCCCCGAATCTGGAATCATCTACACGCCTTACGAGTATCCCTACACGCTTACTCCCTCCATATTGGAATACCCGATCGACTCAACTGGAGTATTAGGTACATGAAAATCAGCAGTTCATCACTCTCATATATGGTCAATGGATGTGTTACGAGAACTGGATACTGGGCTCCATCAGAGCAGAGAATGGTGTTAGTCAGAAGCAGCTCATACTGAGGTCAGCTTTTTTACTGTCAGTATTTAACAAAAAAATTTTGATTAGTGTCTTACTTTTTATGTTTTGTTTGTTTGCAGTTGTTTAAAGCTCCAAAAAGTATCTCTTAGTCACAGAATCTCCCTATTGACTCAAAAGTTAACTAGTTGGATGCCATGTCAGCAGTTCCCAAAGCTGCAAAATAAAAGTGGCAAAAACCTGTGAGCTTGATGTTTGAAATATTAGCCAATTAAACAAGGACGTAATGATGACGCAACAAATGTTTGAATAACTTTAACCATTATAGGAGATATGTCCTGCTTTTAAATCCTTCTTTTTCAAATTTAAACCATTCAGTTGGGGTATATTATAGAGGTTTCGATTTCCTTAATTTTGGGTGATCAAAGATCGATCAATACTTACACAAGATTGGTGGAAAAGATCGGCTTCTCATTTACCTCCACAAAGATCTGAAAATCATCCATTGTCCCCTTTTGCTGTGCTGTAAGCACTACCTCATGTCCAGTTAAAACATGTTTGTGTTTGTTCAAAGGTAGTGTTCAGTGTTTTTCAATAAAATAAGATTGGACGGAAGGTGTATTGTGACCTTACAACACCTGACAGTGTCAGCTRTTTAAAAATTTGGTATCAGCCAAAATTGGAAATGGCAGGTCAGACTTTTTAAAGATCGGTGATTAGCCAGAACACTGCAATCAGTGCCCCCCCTAGTCTTTATGAAATGGAACTACAATGCTTTGGAATCCTTCCTTATTGTAACTCCACAAGCCCCTCTTTCACCCCCTTTCTTAGATTTGTCTCAGATCAACTCATTTTGATGCTGTCAYTTTAAAYCCAAACAAGGCACCTCCTGACATTATTTGGCAGTACCGTCACAAATTCTGTGATGTAATAATTCAGAAAACATCATAGAAAATAGAGAAAACTGAACGGGTTGAGAAATACTGTATGACCCAAAAATAATGTAAAGGTATCTACGCAGCACYAGGAGAGACTAAATTAAACTTTTCTGCACTCCTGGAGACTCCAAGTACACAACAAARTTTAACACCTTAAAATGTGAATTTTGCATGATATGTCTCCTTTTAATGGCATTTTAATGATCTTTTGTAACAGTTAAATTAAAACTACAGTTTTCTTCTGCTACAGATGGGAGGTCAGATCCAGCTCTTGTAATACATCCACATCATCCACAGATACATGCTGAGGCTCATTGCTGGGCTAACAGTCCCTTCTCCCTGTGTTTTCGCAGGTATGGCATTCCCAACCAAAGGCTAAGTGATAGCAACCCTTCCTAGCACACACGGACTGGCTTTCAGATATCTCCCTCCCCTGCTGTTTACTCCCACTCACACACACGCACGCACGCACGCACGCACGCACGCACGCACGCACGCACGCACGCACACACACACATTTGTCCCTCAGAGCAAACACCCCATTCGCTCATACTTTAGGATGACAGATTACTCGACAGTAGTCAAGTGTCCATTCCTGTTAATTTCCTCTTTGTATTAGCAGACTAGCATTGTGGTGTGAAAACTACTTAACTTTTTTTATTTTTAATAATTCAGCTTCCGCTTGTAATTGTTAACACATGTTAGTGAACCCGTAGATGTTTTAGAGCTGCTATTTAACACATGATAAATGCTTATTTTGATCACAGAGCTAAAAAAGAAAAAGTGATTTTTGCTTACAGCTGATGTTGAATCTACTAGTGAAGCTTAGTTGGAAATTAGCAGTTTGGATTAATATTTTCTCTAGAGAGAGAGCGAGAGAGAGAGAAAAAGACCACAAAACAACAACAACAACAAAAAGATCAGTCTCTTAGATACAAGATGTTTTATTTTTTATCACCCTCAGCCTTGAACACTTGGTAAATTCCTGGTTTCACTCATGTTGGTGCCATGGGTCGATTGTTTGATGTCTTTCTGACGAGTAACCTTCTGTGTTTTGTTTTGGAAATATCAATGGATGTTAGCAGGTGCCATGACCACTAAGGTACGACGCCACGACAAGCGAATCCATCCTTACCAAAGGGTAGTGACCACAGACAGAGGTTAGTTAGCTCACCAGCCACTTTATTTGTATATGTGTGTGTTAGTGTGTGTGCATGCGGACCAATGGACCAGTTTCAGTTTACTGTAAAACGGCATGCCTAAAATAAATAAATAAATAGAAATAACTGTGTCAGGCGAAAAGGGTGGCAGGCTGGAGCAGCTTCGTTGTGAAATGTGAAAGAGAGGAGGGAAGTGAGTGAGGGAATTGGGGGGGAGGGACCGCGTCAGACAGCTGCAGCGGTTGTCTCTGTTCGCCTGTTAACTTTAAAGTGGACGCCTCGCGGGGTCGGGACCCTCCGAGTTAGAATGGATCGCTCCGTTCATGTGACTCGGTCCTTGTGACTCCTGAGCCGTCCCCTTGGAAACTTTGTTTTCCCTCCTCAGTACTTACTTCTGATCACTGTGGGACGTTTTATTTATGCTCAACTTCATTCCACTAGATTTCCACTGATTATTTTATATACTGTATATGTAATGAATTAAATCCTGTGTGACGCCCACTTCTTACATGACAGTTAAAAGTAAGATCGTCTAAAGATCATCCAATTGATTGTGGTCTTTAAGTTTTACTACTAAAACACAGCGTGTGGTAACTACTGAAGTCTGTGTTACAAGCTCTTTTGTATGAAATATTGTTGTTTGTGGTCTTATCAGTCGCCCACTGGACTTTATCATTGGGACTGTTTACATCTTTCATTTATTTCCTAGCCAGAGTGGTGCTGTTACCATGTATTTAGCTGCAAAATAAATTTGTATATAGAGATTTTAAGGATTTAAGTTCTTATATGAAGCTTATGGAATAAGATCGCTTGAAAATACTTATAGTTAGTTTTTTTTTTAGTTTGTAAATTTTTATCTTTGTTTTATGATATGCTTTTTATAGATGAAGTGTCTCTATGTTTATTCAAAGTGTGTAGCTACTACTGTTTTAGCCACTGCCAAGGTGGCAATGAAGGCAGTGTTTTGCTCTGTGTATTTAAGGTGAGATAACCTTCTCGGTATACAGGCATTGAGACTGTTATATGCAATAGAAATGGAAAAATGGACTAGCTAGCTACAAAAAATGTGTGTGTGAGCAGTGGTGCTCTCTTTGTACACAATGGACAAAAAAAACACTAAAAGGCAATAAAGATGAGTGTTGAAACAAATCTCTAAAGCGAACCAAAGCCTCGAAATTCTTGTAGTTAGTTTGTGTTAAACTGTTTCTCAAGTCGCTCTAAAATCACCATCTTTTAACCTCTCATTACTGTCTCTTACGGCGCCTCTGTGCTTACTGTAGTTGTTTTAGGTGCTACTCTAATACTACATAGCCAGTAAATCAAACCATAATCAATAATCAGTTAATCACAACTCTTAATCATCAAGATTTTACGCCTGCTGCTCTAAACAATAGCTCTACTTGTCAGGGAGTGAAAGTCTCTCCGAGACTTGGACACTTTTCTTTGGACATAAAGGTCACTTTCTCACATGAAACCATGCCGTCTCCCTGTCTGCACATGGTTTCACTGTCTTGTCTGCGCGAGACGTAGCCCAGCTAGCATGAGTAGTTTCACTATAGCAGCGGTCTCGCAGCAGGAGGAGCGCCTCTGCGAACACCTCCACGAGCACACGTGACGGGCCATTCCTCGGCGTCGACCGGTTGATGTGAGTCCTTGTGAATGGTCATGCGGCGCTCGTGAAGGCGTTGAGCAGTGCTTACGTAACGACCCTCGTGCTGCGCGACTGCACTAGATCTGCCTTGTTGTCATCCCGACGCCACTAGCTGACACTAATCTCTCTTCTATCTTTTTTTTTCTTTTCATGTCCCCCTTTTATGTACCCTCTTTTTGTTTCCTTTCCTCGTCTGTCCGTCTAACTCTAGCTGCCACGGCAACTAACCCATGACCCCCCCTCCTCCCTCCCTCCTTCCCTCCTCCTTGACCTTCTGACCTTTCCGCCCAACTGATGACCCACCCATCTCTGCCTGCTGGCGTGCTCATTGGCCCACGGCTCTGCCACTCCCCCAGCTCAGCCAACAAGAGACCAGAACTTTGGGAACAAGCCGGCTGCCTCAGTCTAACCAGCCAACCGGACGACAGCGATCTTTGGGAATAATCCTCAGGACCCCGCCCAACTTTACCAAACGTGCCTTTGCTTTTAAACATCCAAAATTAGTCCAAGAATCTTTTCTTGAAATTACAATCCGCCACAGCTGCATGACTTTACTGCCGGTGGGCCCCGAACTGGTGAAGGGCTTTTAAACTGATCCCTGGCTGCGTAAAACTGCCTCTGCCATGCAATAATAACGACTCTATTAATAACTTTACTGATACTGGTGGTACTTATCAGCACAAACGCCCTTCATAAACACTAAACTGTAGGAGGTATGTTGAAAGATTTAAAGTATTTTTCCCCCTCAGCCAGCGCCTTTTCTTACCTGAGTGCTTCTATTTTAGCAGCGTAACATTTGAGTCCGTGTTCATAAATTAACATGATTTTAATGTGATCTAGAAAGTGTTATTTTGGTAAAGATTTGCAACTTTTTGAAAAGCATCAATGGGTTGAGTTCTGTTCTTGACATCTTCCAGCTGTTCAAAAAAAAAAGCTATTATTCAGGAAAATGTCAGCGTAAAACCTTTGCAAGGCGCTAAGGAAGAACAAATAACAAACTGGAATATAAAATGTCAACATTTCTGGGCTTTTTTTATTTATTTTTTATTGTTTAAAAGCTCCAGGAGCTGACAACACTTTCACAATGATGCCTTTGCCTTTTTCCACACTACAGTATTGTACGAGCTCAAACAACAGTGCCTTTATTTATTGGGAGCCATGGAACAATGTTACACTTTTCCTTAAACAACACAGCTTGAAATGATATGTCAGTTTAATTAGTTAGCTCAGCAGGGATTGTGTCTTCCGTAGCCTAAAAAAAATAAATAATCTACGTTTTGCCCTCAATAGTGCCAAAAACATGGCTCCTGCAAAGAATGAAGCTCCTGCCTAAACTGCATCTGAATCTGTGATGCCTCCAGAGAACAGTGTTATGTTTTTATGGTGTTTCTGTTTGTTTTTTGTGTTTGTTTTGTTGTGCAGAAGGAGATGAAGTCATCCATATATTTTTGCATGTATATCTGCTTTTGTTTTCTTACCAGACACACCAAGCAATGCCTCTATATATATA